AGAGTTGACAAGCGATAGTTTACATGAGAGTTTTCTCAACTTTCATTGCTTAATCAAACGAGAACAAGAGTTGCATAAGAGTTGACAAGCGATAGTTTACATGAGAGTTTTCTCAACTTTCATTGCTTAATCAAACGAGAACAAGAGTTGCATAAGAGTTGACAAGCGATAGTTTACATGAGAGTTTTCTCAACTTTCATTGCTTAATCAAACGAGAACAAGAGTTGCATAAGAGTTGACAAGCGATAGTTTACATGAGAGTTTTCTCAACTTTCATTGCTTAATCAAACGAGAACAAGAGTTGCATAAGAGTTGACAAGCGATAGTTTACATGAGAGTTTTCTCAACTTTCATTGCTTAATCAAACGAGAACAAGAGTTGCATAAGAGTTGACAAGCGATAGTTTACATGAGAGTTTTCTCAACTTTCATTGCTTAATCAAACGAGAACAAGAGTTGCATAAGAGTTGACAAGCGATAGTTTACATGAGAGTTTTCTCAACTTTCATTGCTTAATCAAACGAGAACAAGAGTTGCATAAGAGTTGACAAGCGATAGTTTACATGAGAGTTTTCTCAACTTTCATTGCTTAATCAAACGAGAACAAGAGTTGCATAAGAGTTGACAAGCGATAGTTTACATGAGAGTTTTCTCAACTTTCATTGCTTAATCAAACGAGAACAAGAGTTGCATAAGAGTTGACAAGCGATAGTTTACATGAGAGTTTTCTCAACTTTCATTGCTTAATCAAACGAGAACAAGAGTTGCATAAGAGTTGACAAGCGATAGTTTACATGAGAGTTTTCTCAACTTTCATTGCTTGATCAAACGAGAACAAGAAACTATAGACGCATTATAGCGTCTGTCTAATATACAAACGCGATACAAACTTTAAATATATAAAATTATGTACAAATCCACTTCCTTCCTCTATAACATAACAGTGATCGAAACGTCGTGATAACTTTTAGTGAATTCTTAATATATTTCTTTAAAAAGCCCAAAAGAAAAGACACGACTGGATTTTGATTTTGATTTCGTAAAAATTACGTAATTAAAATGACGTAATTTGTCATTTCGTTGCTTACAAATAACCGTTAATTTGTAAATCGTTGAATGGAAAGCAAAAAATCGTCAGCAAAAACAGCTTCTTGCTAACTTTCTGCTTTGTTTTAAATGTCAATGCAATGGAGCTTTGTTTCTGCCCGCAACTTTTTGGTCAGCGGAAACAAATTTCCCACCTGTTTATACATTTGCGATAACAGCATAAATTATCATATTTTTCATTTTCGACCAATCATGCATGGATCTCGACGCCTTATTCTGTGTCGACGTTCTTTAAGTAAATATAATGACAGACATATACGCGTTGGCCAAAACTGCATACAAAGCATTATTCCTAGAAAATTGAGCACGTCGTTGTTTTTAACTGTGGTCGTAAAAACAAAGTTTAGAAAATAATTTTGTCTTTTGGTCGTCTTGATATACCGCGACTGAATTTTTCGTTACGTGAAGTGTATACTGATTTTGGTAAGTATCACGCAAATTGCGTTTTATATAGCATAGCAACTATACTGGGAGCGCTATATGTCTTGGATACAGAGACGATTTATATAAACAAAGTATTGAGGCTGCAGAAATGGCAAGTCAACTAGCCTATAATACAACGAATGATCCAGCGTATATAGACACGTCTGAAGTACAAGTCTTGTTTGCCAGTCTTGTTTCTCGAAGCTTATTTTAAATACTGTAATACATGTGCCCAGCTTTTTCAGTTGAGAAGTCGCTCCGAAATTTACTATTACTGAAGGAACAACGATAAAACTAAGCGTGATGCAAAACCATCAAAAAACGAAATCAAATACATACAACACCAGACCTGCAACATGCAGAGTCAATAATTGCACCGTTTTTCTCATCTTTTGACGCGCCAAAAAACCTAAAAGTCAATGGATTAAGTTGTACATGTACTATTCACAATATAAGCGGCCGCGAATCGTCTTGACAACAACTTCATGACAACAAAGTGTTTGCAAATCTGCGACATCTTGCGCGTTTTTAGTCGAAGGGTGCCGGTCTTGTTGATGGCAGTTTCAAAGTATTCTTTGTTTAATAATCGTTTCCGCAGGAAAATTCCGAAGTCAATTTCTGTAAATTATCCAACATGCCCTGCGATTTCAGTTCGGTCCAATAAATGTATGTAGATAGATAGATAGATAGATACGAGGGCTGTAGTTCACATCAAGAAATTGAATGGAAGAGCTAGATTTACCCACCCTCCTCCTCGCTGTTGAACGCTATATGTTGAACTTATGTAGATACATTATGTGCAATGGGCGTTAGTAATACCCCACTTTTTCTGTGCTGAATGTTATATAGTTATTAATTAATAATTTTTCTTGTTAATTATTAAAAATTGATTAAAACAATAAAGCGGCTATGTGCCAACAACCAGGCACATAGCCATAATTATGCCATAAAGGTTTTGACTGGTCTTGTTGTATGCATGTGGTAGCACACACTATCTACTGATAAAAGACTGGTCATAAAGTAACTGCTAGGATGGGCTGGAGGTAAATTACAAATTTTGCCAATAAGTTTGGTGATCCATCTTAGGATGTAGATAAAAATTTCAAAGCCCATCTAATCTTACAAAATATTTTTCATGACCACCCAATTTAAATTGGGAAAATACACTTTTATAATAATTAAAAAAAAAACTTGCAGGTATGAACATTGTAAATATATACACGGCACTGTATTGACATACATAATTCCACCAAGCTTGACCAACACGTTGATACTGAGCTGCTCTCCAGTTGGTTGTATTTGCTGTGATTCGACCACTTCTTGTTGTTGTATAAACAAAGTACTGGCTTCAATAGCATCATTTGCATTTGATAATTTGGATAGTTTTGTTTAATACTTTTATTATTAGTATCTTTATTTTTTGAAGTAGAGATGCATGGGGTTTTGTTTGGTGGCCCAACCGTGGACATACAAAAAAATTGGCGGCCCATCGACGCTGCCCAAAGATTTTCCATGGCCCATCCCAAATCACTCCAGCCCACCGTAGCAGTTACTTTATGACCGGTCCCTAAAGTCCATTAATAGTACTCGAAGCCAATTTTTAATAAAGCCTTTCGTAAAATGAATCTACATTTATATTGCAACTGAGTTAAACATCACAGTGTTAGTGTATAACCGCCGATCTCGGAACTCGGAAAAGGACTGGCACTAGTTGTAAAATAGAAATCCATTTCTGGTTTAACATTACTCAATATCTCATCAACGGTATTAGATTTCTATTTTAAATTTGTCCCAGACATTCATTTCCCTGTGTAAGACACAGACACAAAGTTTCAAACAGTTTCACAAAAGAATCAGGGCGTGACAAGTGATTAAAGGTACGAAACTGGATTTCTATTGTTGCTAGTCCCAGTCCTTTTGCTCACCGTCAGATCACCTGGTAAGTATATGTTTCAGACAAGGTCTTGTCTTAAATCTGATCATATTAATATCATGTCACACCAAGATGTCAAAGTGAATTTTGAACATGCAATGTAGCTTAGTATGTACGAGCAGTTGAAAATTGTATACTTTCATTCCAGAGCCGTCAACATGAGAGGGAAAAAAGAATTATTCTTTCTGATCGTGGGCGTCGTGTTGTTTGTATTCGACCTGGTCACAGATTCTCTTGTGGCTGTCAAGTTTTGGTCTACAGGTGACTATAAGTGGTTTGCATTGTCATTAGCCTTGATCATCTTTCCTCTTTGGATCGTCAATGTATGCGCAGTGTCTTGCTACCAAAATAGAGGTTTGACGGATTGCTGTTTTCGAAAGTGTGGGGACAATTGTTTAATATTTTCATGTTGGCCCTTACTTCGGCGTCATGCACAAGAGTTCAAACAATGGAAGGAAGCATATTGGGATAACTCCCCTTGTGAAGACAACTGTAATGAATGCAACTGTCAAGATTGCGAGCAGTATCGCGAGGGCATAAGCGATTGTAACAATTCAGCTTATGAATTTGCTTGGTTACGTTTTATAGAGACACTTACAGAGTCTACTCCACAATGGATATTTCAGGTTTACATTATGTTAAGTGGGTGGGACTTTCCATGGTTAACCGTGCTCTCAGCTGTCGTATCCTTGTTTTCTTTAGCATGGAGTACTACCACTCTCGAGAAAGCAAGAGTGACGAAAGAAGGTCATAACTTTACAAAGAAAGCAACAGGTTTATATTTCTGTTTTCAACTGCTTGTTTTAGGGCCCAGACTCTTTGTAATTGCAATCTACGCGTACGCGTTTAAAGGACAGGTGTTCGTGGTCCTGTTTGGCCTCTGGGTGTTAGGGTCTGCTTTATTGGCATGTTTAACCTATGGATATCTGATGTTTACGATGACCTTTGCCGTTGAGCGTTGTTGCGACCCTTCATTAGGATCAGTAGCAAAGATATTGGAAAAGTTCGTACTCAGTTTGGCGCTTACATTGTTCGTGTCTGAAACTGTTCTTCAGTCGCTTGGTTTCGAATCATTGGTGATGCATGGTTTATTTTTTCTTGCGAAATCTGTAGAGAACGGTTTTCTGGTATATCGCGTTGTCTTTCAAAGTGACGCCGAACATGTGAATGTACTGGAACCAATTGCGTGGTCATTGGTTGGAATAGGCTTTATCTTTGGTGTCATTTCATTTGTAGTACGCTATGTGCTCAAACGGAGAGAAGAGGCAGTTAATAACGAAAGTTTAACAGAGGTTCAAGAGAATGCGTTCCATCTACCAGGATCAGGCGTCATATCCCAACCAACAGAGTGAACAGCTCTTTTGAAATGTATTAATAAGCATAAATCTGCCGCTATGAGAAAAAAATATGTGGGTTTCCGTTTTCCCGACCCTACCTAACTTTTGGACGCCGCGAAATCCCAACCCTAAACTTTCTTTATTGAATGATGCTTGTAAGTGTTTCCACTTAGAGGAAAACGTTTGTGAAAATGGAAATTTGAGGCAATATTAGGGAAATGTATCTTTGAATGTGGAAGCACTGACTAAACAAAATGGCGTTCGGTTGTTAGGAAAATAAAAAAGTTTAAAAAAAAGTTAAATCGACCTACCCTACCTAAACTTTTACGAAAAGAAATAGGAAACCACATGGTCCAGTGTAGACAGTGCCTCGGTGGTGCCAACAATAACAAGCTTTTGTTGGCAGGAATGCAACTACCTGAAAAATATAAGGAGAATTTCGACGTTTCGAGCGAAGGCCCTTCGTCTGGAGTTACTAAGACGTCTGGAGTTACTCAGTAACTCAAGACGAAGGGCCTTCGCCCGAAACGTCGAAATTCTCCTTATATTCTTCAGGTAGTTGCATCCCTACCAAAGAAAGCTTGTTATGAGAACGCTTGTTTTAAATATGTATGCACTAATTGTAAGTCATGATTTTTTCTGTGTTGGTGTTATGTACTCAGGTGAATATGATGCTTGTGATGTTACTCTGAGTGTATATCCACACCGAGCAGGCATATTTTTCAAGCTTGCCCGGTGTGGATATACACTCAGAGTAACATCACAAGCACTCAGTCGTAAGTTATTAACAAGGGTGGGTTGTAGCGAAGTAGTTGTAGTTCGCTACTGTAGCGAACTACAATTTTCAAGTAGCCAGTAGTTTTTGACTACTTTTTTAAAACAGTAGTTGTAGTTATAGCGAACTACATTTTGCCTAAAAGTAGCCAAGTAGTTGACTACTTTTCAAACAGAGAATCGCTATTCGCTACTTTTTAAAATTGTTAGCAACTTGATAGAATAGCATGATATTGAGATACGGTTTGCTTAAAATCAATACTCAATAGTCGATTTGCACTCCTGAACACTGTAGTGCTTACAAAAATGTTGCTTTGTGTTTACTGTTGCTACTCGCAAGTCGATTTGTTATAGATGGCCATAGATTTCATTACAGCGTGAGTTAGTAGATGCTCCAAATATAGTAAAACTAAAAAATATAGTGTAGCGAAATAGCGAAATAGTTCGCTACAATTTTTAAGCAGTAGCTGTAGTCAGTAGCGAACTACCTTTGTTGAAAAGTAGCAGTAGTTGTAGCTGACTACATATTTTTGAAGTAGCTGTAGTAATAGCGAACTACAAACATTTTGTAGTCAACCCACCCTTGGTTATTAATTTCATTCTTATCCCATTGTGGAATGAAATTATCAGGCATTACACAGATGTCAATGAATATAATTATGTTGTGTATGTTTATTTACTGTATTAAAAAATGTAACATTCAGTTCTATAAAAACACGTTATAAAATGGCTTTGAACACGTCAAGCTACAGGCTGAACTAGTTAAGGACTCGGGTCTCGGAACTAGTATTTATAGTGATACTAGTTCAACACAATTCCACATGGTACAAGGTACTGAATGATTTTCATCCGAAAAAGGATTTCTATTTGAACGCTAGTTTCATTCTCACAACTGTGTTTTCAAATCAGGTATGAAGCATTATCCGAACGTCAAGAAAGGGGGGGGGGGGGTCATTTCACCAGCAACAATTATGTCTAAACCCCAGTGACGCCAACTGATTTGCCAAACCATTCACTGCGGCTCCAAATAGACTTATGCATAATGACGTCACATAGCTTGATGCCCGCGAGGAATGCTGGTCTTAGTAGTCATCGCCCTGAAAAATTAAACAATTAAAAATGGCCACTATCAAAATTTTCCCGGGCAATGACTACTAAGACCAGCATACCACGCGGGCATCAAGCCTTTTGACGTCATTATGCATAAGTCTATTCCAGTTTTTCGATAAAAAAAGAGGCAAATCTCAGATCCCATACTACCACGTAGTGACCCTTTGATATCGATTTCGGCCAAAAATGTTAAGTAGTATGTTTGATATATGCCACTGTATTTTAAGTTAGACTTTAATTTAATCATATATGCACTGTTATATATAGTTAATTATTACGATTAGCTAAGTATACTTTAGCATAAAGTCAATAATATAGTGGGCGTGATATACTGCCATAGTTTGTCTGATTTGTTGTTGCTAATAAAAAAAACCAGTTCTAGTGAACACATATAGAGATATAATTTACTATAAATGGCTCAGGTATATATACATGTAATTATAAGAAATCATTTATAATACATTTCAATCTTTTTCACTGTTTTACTTGAATTTGTCATTTTGCATTTATTCTACAAATATATATATATATATATATATATATATATATATATATATATATATATATATATATATATATATATATATATATATATAGTTTTACAAAACGGATGGTGAATGCTATTTTATATCGCCAAGAATTTTAACCGTTTAACAAGAACAAGAGTTGCATGAGAGTTGACAAGTGAAAGTTTACATGAGAGTCGTTTTTTCAACTTTCATTGCTTGATCAAACAAAAACAGAAGTTGCGTGGGAGTTGACAAACGAGAGTTTACATGAGAGTTTTCTCAACTTTCATTGCTTGATCAAACGAGAACAAGAGTTGCATGAGAGTTGACAAGCGAGAGTTTACATGAGAGTTTTCTCAACTTTCATTGCTTGATCAAACGAGAACAAGAGTTGCATGAGAGTTGACAAACGAGAGTTTACATGAGATTTTTCTCAACTTTCATTGCTTGATCAAACGAGAACAAGAGTTGCATGAGAGTTGACAAGCGAGAGTTTACATGAGAGTTTTCTCAACTTTCATTGCTTGATCAAACGAGAACAAGAGTTGCGTGAGAGTTGACAAGCGAAAGTTTACGTGAAAGTTTTCTCAACTTTCATTGCTTGATACAGTTTCGTATTCATCTGATTCATTCATTTCCAATGACCAATATCTGACTCCATATCAAACATCACAATAGTTCCAATGTGATATATAAACATCTGTGAGTAATTACTTCGTATTTCTGCGAAAACAGCGAGATTTCTTAGTATTAAAATCGAAACTACGTATAGTATTTTGCGCGGCGCGTGTTCGAACCTACAGCTTGTAAATTTGTGACTAAACCATTCGAGTGCTTTGTATTCCTGTAACTGTATTGGTGGTGTGCCTTTTGTATAAAAGTTGTGAGTATTTCTACCTATATTTGTGCTTGTAGCTACGTGTATAAATGTGCCACTGAAGGGCCGTTCCATGCAGGTCCAACGCCATGCAATTATAGAATTTTTGGAAAATTTTATGGTTTTACTTAAAAGATTTAAAAAATAAAATAGACTTTGTTGAACCTCTAGATCTAGCGAGAACAGTTTAGAACTAATAGAGTTATTCAGTATAAATAAAGTTAGTTTCGGTTTCTTCCTGTAGTAACACTGGATCAATAATCCGTACTGCGTCTACTGCCTGCATGATCATGAACCTTTAAGAAGAACAGTTTAGAACTAATAGTTTAGTTTCGGTTCCTCCTGTAGTAACAATGAATCAATATAGGAGATGGTCCATATATACTGGACCTCTATATAGGAAGAACAGTTTAAAACTGATAGTTTAGTTTCGGTTTCCTCCTGTAGTAACACTGAATCAATAAGAGATGATCCTTATGCTGGACCACTAATCTCTATACAGGAAGAACAGTTTAGAACTGATAGAGCTATCCAGTATAAATAAAGATAGTTTAGTTTAGGTTTCCTCCTGTAGTAACACTGAATCAATAAGAGATGATCCTTATGCTGGACCACTAATCTCTATACAGGAAGAACAGTTTAGAACTGATAGAGCTAGATATCCAGTATAAATAAAGTTAGTTTATTTAGATTTTCTCCTGTTAGCCCTGTAGTAACACTAGATCAAAAAGAGATGACTCCTCCTGGACATCTAAGAAGAACATAATTGATATAAAGCTATCCAGTGTAAATAAAGTTATGTTCTGCAATCTGCATCAGTGCATGCATGCATGCGTTAAGCGATTTTAGTATTTTCGCATCGCTTTATAGGCATATGATTGCTATATATTCAATAATATGGCGCGGCGCAATCTCAGTCACATAAAACTAAGACTATAATTCTTAAACCAATCGCTCAAATGTCAAATGTAGCTTAACGTTGAAAAGCTGCATGAATGACCAAGCTTTAAAACGAATGTAAACAGCATAAATTTACATTCGAAATTTACGTTTGGATCGAGGAATTTGTGTTTTTATATATAGCTACGCCCTGTCTGCAGCGTGGGCTAACTCGAAATTCGATATATCGATACTTAATTCGGTTTTATTGATTAATTAAATTTACCATTTATATAGTCGTTTTGAAGTTGCGAAAGATGGGAAAAATACTACAACGGTTGAGTTTGTTGGTAGGCCTGGCGTTGTATTTATTTGACTATGGCTCAGACATTTACGTGGCTGTTCAATACGGAGAAAATAATGAATTTTGGTGGTTTTGGATGACAATTGGTTTTATCGGTATTCCGTCAATCATAGTAAACATAACAGCGATCGTTCAACTGGTAAACTACCTCACATGTATAGCCGCCGTTCTTCAATTATCGATCGTCGGTCGTTACATCGAAGCATTTGTATCGCTTGAACATAAACGTATATACTTACTCGCAATGCTACGTTATTTGGAGACGATTATGGAAAGCGCTCCACAATGGTGTCTACAGGTTTACATTATGCTACGTCAGTGGTATTTCCCATCATACACCGTAGTCTCCAGTGTATTTTCACTCCTGTCTTTAGCGTGGAGTATCACGACACTCGAGAAAGAAAGAGCAACTCACGAAGATCGCGGATTTGAGACATGTGAAACAATCTTTTTTCTGATGGGGCAACTGTTTACACTCATATCAAGATTATCTGCAATTGTTCTTTTTGCTTACGTGTTTCGTTATTACGTCATCATTTTCCTGGCAATCCATTGGTTGCTTCTTGTGGTGATAATATTTCAAATACAAAGACGTGGCGGAGAAAGTTTCGAAAAATCGTTACTTTTATCATTGCTTGCTGCCTTTCCTTCTCTGTTTCACGTTTCGAAAACCGTCATTCCAACCAAAAATCCCAAAGCTGAGATGATTGTGGGGTATATTTTCATCGTCTTAGAAAACATCATCATGGTGACGTTGTCTCTGACGATTGAAATGCCAGGCGTATCACATATGGATGTACTGATGCCAATCGCAGTTTCATTCCTCGTAGCTGGATCAATCCTATCAATCATCTGCGGCATTTGTTGTACCGATCTTGATGATAATTAGCTTAAATGCACGACATTTTTTTTGATAAAACTAAACCTTATTCAACATATAAAATACTCAATTTCAGGATTTAAAGTAACGTATTTCCCTAAGTAGCTTATCTCCTTACGAGCTATCGGAAATTCACGTGCAATGTACATTGTAAGGGGGTATTGAATGATTTTCATCGGAAAAAAGAATTTTTATTTAAAAACTAGTTTTATTTTCACGGCTGTGTTTTCAAAATCAAGTATATAGAACATTATCAGAAAGTCGTGAAGGGAGAGACTTGATCTTATTTTCCAAGCAAAAATTACATGTTAAACCCAATACCCGACCCACTGATTTGCCAAAACCATTTCCGGCAAAAAAGTGCTGACGATGCAAATCCCATTCACTGCGGCTCCAAATTCATGTTTTCTAGTAAAAAATAGACAGATTCAGATCCCATTTTATCCCTTAATGACCCTCTGATATTGTTTTCTGTCAAAAAAATAGAAGCAGTATGTCTCATGTTACTCTGCCTGTTATATGCCACAGATATATTTTTAGCCATATTTTAGTTTAGACTTTAATTATCAGATATGCACGCACTGTTATATAGCTATTCAAATTAGTTGCGTAGTTTGACATTTTAAAGCCAATAATATAATGGCCGATACAGCATTAGTTTGCCTTATTTGTTGTCGCTAACAAAAGACAGCTAGTTCTAGCGAACACAGATATAATTTATCGTAAATGACTTAAGAATATATATACATGTAACTAAGGCATCATTTATAATACATTTTAATGTTTGTCATTTGTGTTACTTTAATTGTGTCATTTTGCATTTAACCTACAATGTCTTTAATAGACGTTTTATTTTGCAAAACAGACGGTACTATAAGGACGGTAGGTCAGTACCATAGTGAAACAAGAGTTAATTATGTCATGCTAATAATAAGTTAAGTTAAGTTAAGTTAAGTTAAGTTAAGTTATGTTACTTTACTAGGCTTTGCTTTAAATTAAGCTGAATAATTTGAGTATTTGACCAGTCAGAAATTCGGAATGTCCGAGGTAAAATTGATTTGGCCAGTCATCTTGACCGGCGAGCCTCCAGCCGCTAATTTGCGCCCTAGTAACTGACTTGCTACAAGTTGTTCCAACAAGACTAATACAAGCAGTTCGTAACAAGTTGCTACGAGCTTGTCGTCATCAACTTGTTAACAACTTGTTACCTGCAGACAATATCAGACTTGCTGGAACAACTTGTTGCGAGTCTGTTGGCCTCGTCAACCTTGTTACAAGATGATAACAACTTGTTCCAGACTTGCCAACAACTGGGAACAAGCAGTGCGAACACATCTTTGGCTGCGAGATTCACACGCTTGTATATGGCAATTAAGAGAGACAACAACAGTTTACAAATAGCTATATAATTATTACTTCACATCTCATTTTATAGTTCCTTTGAAGTACCAAAAATGGAGAAAAAATCACGACGGTTGTGTCTGTTGGTAGGCCTGGTGTTGTTTTTATTTGACTACGGCTCAGATATTTACGTGGCTGTTCAATACTGGAAAAATAACAATTTTTGGTGGTTTGGGATGACTGTTGGTTTCATCGTTATTCCGTCAATCCTGGTGAACATAACAGCGATCGTTCAAGTGATGAACACTTTTACATGTATAATGGCTGTTCTTCAATTGTCTATTGTTGTTCGTTACATCGAAGCACTTATATTGCCGGATTCCCGCCGTATCTACTTCCTCGCAAACCTACGGTATTTAGAGACGATTACGGAAAGCGCTCCACAATGGTGTCTACAGGTTTACATCATGCTACGTCAATGGCATTTCCCATCATACACCGTGGTTTCCAGTGTATTGTCGCTTCTGTCTTTAACCTGGAGTATCACAACACTCGAGAAAGAAAAAGCAACTGACGAAGCACGCGATTTCAAGCTACTTCATACAGCCTTGTTTCTAATTTGGCAACTGTTTACACTGGTATCAAGATTATTCGCTATCGTTCTTTTTGCTTACGTGTTTCGATATTACGTGATCATTTTCCTGACAGCCCATTGGCTGCTTCTAGTGGTGGCGATGCTGATAATACAAAGATATCATTACGCAATTGATAGTCTGGGAAAATCCTTACTTTTGTCATGTCTGGCTGGTTGTCCTTCTCTTTTTCACTCTTCGGAAACCGTCCTTCCAACCAGAAAACCTAAAATTGAAATGATCGTGGGGTATATTTTCATCGTTTTAGAAAACATCATCATGGTGACATTGTCTCTGACGATTGAAATGCCAGACGTATCACACATGGATGTATTGCAACCAATTACTATTGCATGCGTTGGAGGAGCAACATTTCTATCATTGATCTTCGTCTTTGTTTTTTACTACTGCGTTGATGTGTGAAAGTAACGCATGCGAATTAATTTCGTAGGCTCTATTAATTAAAAACAGAGGTGGTAGTATTTCGTCGCTTGGCGTAAGAACTACAACGTCTGTGAGCAGGCTAATTTTGGCCCGTCCGTGGATAATAAAATGACATAAATCGAGATTGTAGCAGCTATAAACTCGGCGGTCACGTGGTAAGCACACCACGTGTAAAGATTAGTGTGCTGCCTCGCTAACGCTCGAAAGCAATTAGCTGAGTACTTTGACATTTGAAAGCCAATAATTAATATAGTGGCCGATACTACTATTTTGTCTGATTTGTTGTTGCTAATAAAAGACAGTTCTATAGCAAACACATAAAGATATAATTTATCGTAAATGGCTCAAATATATATACATGTAATTAAGGCACATTTAAAATACATTTTAATCTTTTTCACTTGTGTTACTTGAATTGTGCTATTTTGCATTTATCTTACAAAGTCTCAAATAATTTCTATTAAAAACTGACGGTGAATGCTATTTTATGTCGCCAGGAGATTCAATTAACGCTTTGACATGTTGTCTGGACTACCTAACATGAAGTTTCATTGCTTGATTTATTATCGAGAACAAGAACTGCCTGACAGTTCAGTTCTCGAACTGATGTACAAAGGGTTATTTTTTTCCCGCTGTGTGCGTTTCTGGTATAAAAATCTAATAGTTACCAAAATAAATCCAGTCTTTGTTGTATATGTTACTGTAGATAGAATTCAAATAAAACTGAAGCTCAAATTTCAAATACTTGCGATGCTTCAGTTAATCTTCAGACATGTTTAATCCTTCCAAGAAAACACGCGTTGACATTTCCAAGTGTTGAACTGCGCAGTGTTGGTGCATCTACCGCCGTACTGGCCTGATAAATTCGCACTTTAGTGCTCTATACTGCAATTGGGGAAGCTTTGATTTTCCTTTTTATAGAGAACGGCAAAAGCATTATTCAATCTGGTATGTATATAGAATGATTATAGTTAAGCCGCGGTCAAACTGACGAGAGTTGAGGAGTGTTGCCAGTCACACATTGTTACAGGGGAAATTTCAAGCTCTAGATTAACAAAATAAAGGTTCGATGAGTGTTCCAACTATGTTTTAATTTCAATAGAATACACGATAGTGTTGGGAAAGTATTAAGAACAGCTAAACGAAAAACAGAATGAATTCAACGACGCGCTACTAAGTATACTTCAACTATTATATCGCTGTCCTGACACTCACAGAAAACGACTTATCCAGACAGATTTACTTCCACTCTCTCATTGGCACGAATATTTGGACATGGTACTAGGCTACTATTCAAACTTACCAACAACATGACTTATACAGAGAGAGCACTTTTACGGACAGTCAATTTGAGTCAAAGAACCAGGAAGGCGCCATTATATTAGAGGAACAGCTATGTCGAACTTCAACATACGCTAGATCGTATTTGGTTCGATCAGAAGGGTGTAGAATGTTCTGCCAAACGAAATACGCAAGAACTTAACCAGTCTCTGTCTCCGGCTATAAACACTTATTTAAGGAACACTATACCAAAGTGCTTTAAATCAACTTATAAATCTGAAGACGAACGGAAATAAAAGTCAGTTTGTACATGTTAAGTGTGGCTTTGCCTGTCGTCTTCTGTCTCTTAATTCCTATATGACAATATGTGCTGTTTTTAATATCTGTATGTTTTAATGTTGTTAATGTCTGTATATGTTTGTATGTTTTGTCGGTAATTGTAATCGTTAAAAGTTCTAAGTATTTTACACGCTAACAGCAAAAACTTCCTGGGCAACAGTTTCCTGTTCAAAATATTACACAAGTTTGAACGTGCCGAAAAAAACGTCGCACTTTGACTCCTCAGAAAAGAACTTTAAAACTGCTCTACGTTCTGGAAACATGTTTTGTATTAAATTTCAAGTATTGCTGAAAGATCTTAGCTTTTTTCCTTGTTGAAATACAGCTATTTAGTGCATGCTCAAAAACGGATGTCTTTTCGGCGGCGTATTTTTCACGCCATACGAGTACATGGCCGCCATCATGAGTGGCTTCAAAGATGGCGGCCAAGTTATCGTTTCAGTTCCTTAGAGTTCACTGCTGCCAACTTTCATGCACTCTCATCTAAACTTTATCCAAATTTGCACAATTATTACATGTATTCAGATTAATAATACGACAGATACACAGTCACTATATACAAAGTTACAATGATTACAAATAAATTATCGTGAGCAGTGATCAAAGTGGCCAGAAGCTTTCGAGTTGATCACTGCCGACTATCACTAGCTAGTATATAAATTTATGTGTGTGTTTATATATACAGTAGTTTTTAATTATTGCTATTACTGTAACGGATTTGTGTGTGTTTATATACAGTAGTTTTTAATTATTACTATTACTGTAACTAAATTTGTGAAAGAAGAAAAGACTGAGTATATTTTTTGACTGAATTAGGCTATTTAATTTCAAGATCATATAGTTTGCAATATTCGAGATAAAACAAAGATGAAAACATGTATAACATAATTTGTTCGGACACTTGGTCTACTAAAGTTTTGTTTACCAACAAATCTAGTATTATATAGGAATGACATGACATGTGGAAGCTAG